ACAAAATACGTCATTGGCTGGCTTACCCAAAAGGGAAAGAAAAGAACATCAAACTGAGTCAAAAGGCATGGATTTCCACACTACGTCTTCTGCACACGTGATGTGTGAGTTTGGGCAAATCATCTGGTCCTCTGTGGCTCAGTTTACTTATCTGTGTACTTGGGATTTCACCATCCGCCTTTTGTCATCCACAGAGATGCTGCAGGGAGCAAGTAGCATAATGCATGTCAAAGTTCTTTGCAAGATTAAAAGCTACTGACTGTTCAATATAATATACCTCCCAGCGCATGCCAAACCCTGCTTTCTGCAGCATGAAGGGGGCCAGGAGGTGACTGAGAAACCCAACCACCATTCTGGTGGTGTCGGGCTCTCTCACTATTCCAATCTAAGCTTTGTCACCAGGAAACAAGTGCATTTGCAAATCATATAATTAAAAAATTAATTAAGGTGTTCCACAAGCCTATATTAATCACATAGCATTTTCTAGATCCACTGCTCTCTGCAATGGATGTTCCAGAATGAATTACATATGATCTCTAGGTGATGATTCCATTTGCCCCTCTATTTTAAAGAAATTGGGACCTGAGGACCCCTCAAGGCGTCAGGATCTAGTTCTTACCACATCTTACCAGCTGTGTGATTTTACTATATAAGTTACACGACCTCTCTAAACCTCCTTTTTTCTGATCTGGAAAAGGGGAGTGAATATGCAGTACTCATCCTACAAAGATGTTTGTTTGTTTGCCCCATAAAGAAAATGAGATAAAGTAGCTTTGTAAACCTAGAGCAACATACAAATTACTCTAAGGTGAGGCTGGTTTTTATTATCCAAGGTCACAGTGCTCATTAAAGGGATCCTGGGAAAGTCAGCCCCACAGACCCTGCTTTTCCTCCATGACCCCTGTGACCTTGAACAACCCGGGGAAGAGGTAATTGAACAGCAACTACTACTTTGGAAGAAACAGAATCAAAATATTGAAGCTATTGACTCACCCTTAAGGCAGTAAACAGTGCTTTGGTCTCTGACCTTTTCGCATCCTGGGGCAGTCAATAACCGGGCCGCTGGATGCAGCGCCCGCCACTGATTCTGACTTCGGAGTACTTTAACCTTGAACTAAGCTCCAAGTAACCAAGGCAACAGGAAGTCAGCTTCTGCATCGGAGGAGTGGGAATCCATAAATCAAGTCCCTAATGCAAACACGGTGTGCAGGTAGAGGTTTGAGGGGATAAGTGGTCTATGAGAAATTACCTTTGAAAATGAGTGACTGTCCCTCGATACACTACAGCACAGTTTCAAAGACTTTTTAAAAAATCTATCAATAGAGGTCAACAGGTTATTAGCAGAATGTTTTCCTATAGGTTTAACTTTTAAACAATATTTCCTCTTGGCTCTGTCTTTTAATCATGAACAGATGTTGGATCCAAGTAGTTATTAGCATTGTTATTTCCTCCTTTAAAACTGTCCTGGCCTCCACATACGCCAGCCTCAGTACAGTCGGTCCTGAGCTGGGGTTCACAGACATTCCGAACGCAGGCACCATGTGTGTTCTCCACACAGTCTGCTGTCGGAGGTTGAGAAGTGACCCCTTCCCGCATCAAAGCTGTGCTCACCTTTATTCAGGTCCTGGCGTTAGTTGAGGTAACACATCTCAATGGTCCAAGTCAGCACAACGCGATATCCGGGGTTCTTTCTGGTGGACGTCCAGCTTCACGCATCTCCCTCCCGCGGGGAGAGGGAAGCTGGGCCCGTGCTGAGAAGAAAGGTTCCAAATGTCCCAGCCCTCTGCCGTCATCCCACATCCCCGAGAACTTGGTTCTGAGCTGTTTCACGCCTGCCCGGTCATTTGGGCCCCTCTCCGGGGAGCATCAGCTGCCCCCTGGAATGAAGGGAGATGAAGACTCCTGGTGGCCAACCTGCCCAGTGTTCGCTCCCTGGAGGGGTCACCCATCCCAGCAGCCTGAACCCTCGCCCCTCAGGCAGACTTTGGGGATTCCAAATGCTGTTAGATTAGTCTTTGTTGAAAGCTTATCTAATATACTTGCTCATGTATGCTATTTCTGGGATTGTTTCCATAATCCTTTCAAAACCCAAAAATGTCTGAGAAAACGTCAGGGCTCCTTTTTTTTTCTTTTTTCCTAATTGCTTTTCAAATTCATTGGATGGCAACGAACAAACAGTACCATAATCTAGAAAATCCTAAATTATCGAGGGTTTTCAAGACCGCTTAAATAGTGACGATTTGAATTATAGAGTTTTTAAGTGTCATTTTATTACTTTTAACATAAACACTTGAGTAGCAAAGTATGCCCAATAGAGGTATGATCGAATGAACTTGAATGAAATGATGCGGACTGAGACTAATTTGGACTGTGAACATTTGCATGAGAATGGGTACAACGAGAATGACTTGAAATCGGTTTGTTCCCAAGTGAGGGTTAAATATACTCCTGCTAATCCTGTTTGCGGCCTGTTCCCTGAGCCTGCCTTCATTTACACAGAGAATGACCTACCCAACCTGTGTCCACGGGTACAAAGATGCCATACCAGGGTTTTTTTCCAGAGGAGCCATTATCCAGCAGAACTCTGGGACGGCTTGGACTTCCAGAGGTGTGCGGTGGAAGGCACAGCTGCCTCCGTCTAATGGGAGTGTGACCGTGGTGGCAACGAGGACTGAGCTGGGGGACTTCCCTCAGACCCAGGGCTGCTGTCCCCAGTTTGGAGTCTTAGCAGTGGCTGTTTAAGCAAAGCACTCTACTCCAAAGCCTGTCCTCTGGTAGACTTGCAGATTTTTTCCCCCCAAAGTCTATTAATTTTCTCAAAAGAAACAAGGTTTAATACGTTTGTGGCTTTAAAACTGTTAACTAAAGAAGGCTAGGGAATAAAGGTAAAAACTCCCTCTTTCTTACAAACTTTCCTGCGTGCTTTCCTTCCTGAGAATAACCACCATTAACTGTTGGGATAGATCTCCTCGCGGGTGGCTCTGTATGTATGTTACATGTATTATGCGTGTGCCCAGCCCGTCCCTGACACCCCTGCATATTTCACAAATGGGCATCCTGTCCACGTTTGCTGCCCTTCCTGGCATCCTGAGGGTCATGCCTTGCAATCTTTCTGTCACAGAATTTGATGTCTGTCTACCTCTACTGTCAAAATGCTTTGAAACATAAAACCTAAAGAAGGGCATTTACATTGTTATTCACAGAACGAGAAGGGGAGTTTCAGAAGGTGGGATGGAGCGTAGGAGGAAGGTAGTAGTAAGTCAATGAAATCGTCAACATGCCTTCCTTCCTTAGATGCTTACAGGTGCTTTGTCCAGGTGTGGGGCTAGGGCCTGTGCGCCCTCGATATAAATGATACTGTGGGCAGACCAGGGCAGTTGACAGGTGTTAGAGGACAACCAGCTGGGCCAGCCTGGCCCCTGGGTCCTGGATTTAGCATGTGGCTACTTGCAGACTCCTAGCCCTGACATTAGGGCTGTGTGAGTTTAGTTAGTTATCTCTGAACGTCTCAGAACTGTGGTTTCCTCATTGGTAAAATTAAGAAACTGGTATCTTCTGCGCTACACACTTCATGGGGCTGTCACTGGCTTCCCTGAGCTGCTTTCACCATGGTGACAACATAACGTTAACTCAGGCAGAGGACTGAATCACCCACAGTGGCTGGGCTGGAAAAACAAGGGTCGAGAGCGATTGGGATAGAGCCCCATTTGTTGTTGCTGTCAGTGGCAGGGAGCCTAGAAATGAAGAAATTCTGCATGGATGGCCATCTAATACCGATTCGGACACCCCCAGCCTCTGGACTTAGGCTTGGACGAGCTGGAGAGCCGCATTCCTGCAGCTGGGGATGCAGACGGGGCCCAGAAATCCTTGCTCAGGTCAGGAAAGAGAACAGAGCCTTTGCCAGCTGCTTTCTGTTGCCCTGAGGAAGTAGCAGGCTGCAGGAATAATAAGCTAGTAAGAGTAATAGGAACAGGAAACACTTGTCATGGACTGTGTGCTAGGCACTGCTCTAAGCACTTTACGTTAATTACCTCCTGAGTCTTCCCAACCATCCCTGTGAGCTTATACTGTTCCACCCCATGTATACAGCTAAGGAATCTCAAAGCTTGGGGAGGGTAACTGGCTTATGATCTCGCAGCTAAAAAATAAAGAGAGTCTGGATTCGAATGGAGGAAGCAAGTTTCCAGAATAGCTCTGTAATTTGTTACATAGTAAATTCCCAGGCCCTTCCAGAGGCATTTTGCAAGAGGTGCTTTTCAGCATCACAAAGATATGACCTTTGATGCTTATTAGGACCAGGGGCTGAAAAGCCCCCAAATCTACTTTCACTCGGCCACAGCCATGGCCACAGGGATACACCAGCCCCCACCATGCGTCTTCTGCTCCAGCAGACTGGATCATCTTCATCGCCCACCCAGAACTTAGTGTGTGCTCTTCTTGGCACTGAGAATGCATTTCCCTCTTCCTTGCTGCTTCAGCATAAGCTCTGGGAAGCCTTCCCTCCGTTCCCACACTAATCCCGAAATCCTTAGCGCTCTCCAGGCGCCTAGCATGTGGACGGATGAAGAACACCCAAGCCCGCCCTTATGTGTCACCCGATTTTTCCCTCTCCTTTAGTCTCGTGTCCCCAGCCAGGTGAGATAAGAAGCTGGGGTGGGGTTCCCTTCTCCCCTTCATGCTGCGCACAAAGCAGCCTCTGTGAAGATGGGCTTCTTGCTCCGTAGAAGACAAAGGGTAGCCGCTGGTCTCTCCTGCCTCCCTGGGCCATGCCCCTGCTTCCACACAGCCAGACTGGAATGTTGTCTCCACGGATCTCAGCCACAAAACCAAAACCCGTCATGCTGCTAATTTTTTTTTCCTTTAAATATTCTACCATTTCATTCTTGTTGTGACCAGAAGGAGGTGAATTAATGATGTTCTCAGCTCACTTTCAGGTTTTCTGTTGTCTGTTTTCCTGTTCCTTTCAAGTAACTGCAGGCTTCGGGATTATTCTTTTGTAGGGATGCCAAGTCCCCACCTAAAAGTGGACCAAACGGCACCGCACAGTAAGAACGAGGGCTCCGTGTCCACCATGATGACCAGGAAGAAGCCAGCGGCGGTTGACAGTGTGGCAATCCCCCCGAGCCCAGTGTTATCGCTCCTCGCTGCCTCTGCGGCCACGTCTGATGCAGGTGAACACTGCCCCGAGGCTTTGGGTTCAGCCCCAAGAAGGTGGGCGCGAGAAGGCCCATGGGGAACGTGCTGTGGAATATAGGTTCTCTGCTTAGCCAACCTCCCACAGACGCCGAGCATGGTTCCGCAATGGGTTTTCAAGAGGGAGGAAAGGACGAGATCCGCTCAGGACCTGGGGGCAAAGGCCCGTGAGTAGCAACTGAATAACAATATTAATGGCTTTTTAGCAAGCCTTAGTAATTATTAATCTCTGCATCAAGGACCTTATCTGTGTTAGTTCACAGGACTCATAAAACAAGTCTGTGAGGTAAATACCTATGCCCTGAGTTCAGAAGAGGAAGCCAGGAGTCAAGAAACTGGCCCCAGGAACCTGTGGACAGTCAGGATGCCAGCATAGGTCCAGTACCCATGCTCTCGGCCACGGTGTTTGATGAGTTCCCTTGCTCACTGGGGGTGGGAGACAGTCATCAGAGTTTCTCTGAGGCCTTGGCTCATTCTACCCCACAATGTCATGAGCTCCTCAGTACCCACCAGACTCCTCACTGGCAGCTGATAAAATAGAAACTCCTTATTCAGACATCCAGATGCTCTGCCTTCCTCTGCTCCCCACGTAATCTTCCACCAGTGCCTGCACCAACCCCCACTTTGCCACGTTTGTCCCTCTTGCCAAGAAGGCAGCCTTCAATTTGGCTTAACACCATTCTTTGAGGACAGCCTTTCTCAACTCCCATCTACATCCCACAGACCTTGAAAGCACAGCCTCCCCCAAATGCACACAGCACCCGGTGTCTCTACCATGTGTTTGCTACCTCCTCAGAGACTACAGAGCTGTGTTCTCTTCACTTCTACCCCCCCTCACAGTGAAATTCTACATCCCTCAGAGGTGGAATCCATGAGTTAGGTTCTTGCCATCTTCATGGCATACAGAATGAGAGCATACTGCGGAATTAATGTACTGCTAACTCTTCAGCATTACAATGTTCAGCATAAATATTGTAGTATTTAGAAATGCCTCTTATGATTAGAAGCCCAGGAAGAGACTCATTGATGCTCTCTCTAAACTCATCTTCTCAGTGAGCAGGTGGCTTTGAGCAAAGACCTCAACTTACCTTCATCCCTACTTCCTTCATGGAAATTGCTGGTAATTGGAGAATGTGCCCTATTGAAATAATAGAAGGAAATATTCAGAGTGACATTTCCCAAATTGAGTTCTGCAAAATATTAGTAGATGTCTTGTGATAAAAGATACTTTCATAGTGAAGTGTGTATAGGGAATGCTGCTTTATGTAGCTTCCTTTCCATAGGGCTTTCCAGAGCCTTTCATTGACAGTGTGGTGCACTTGGCGCTCCAGGAAGGACAGACACAGAATTTTACAATCTTAGCTGACCACAGAACCCATTTTTCTGGCAGTAGCTCTTAACATCTCTTGGAAATGCTGTTCTCTTCAGCCATTTGGGAACTCTTGCTCAGGAGGAATGGGATGGTCTCTCAGATGGGATCGTGAATTTCCCCATCATTCTCACACTAGGTGGGAAGTGAAGGTTCTTGGTGGAAATGCCAGGTAAATCATGCCTGCAGTGAGAATGGGAAGAGGTCGGCGGGAAAGTCATAGGTGGGTGAGGAAGAAGCTATCCCGAAACTTGACGAATGGGAACATCTTTGCAGGAGAGCGTGCAGGCAGAGGGAGCGATGTGGACATAGTCCTGGATGTGGGAGCTGGTGCCAAGCCAGGAACTGTGCAAAGTGATCACTTGTCTGGAGGGAAGGATTGGGTTTGCAGTCGGCACTATCTACCCCGATAATGGCTTATGCAACCTTGTTGGTTAAGCTCTGGAGACCTCCCTTTATGGATTTAGAAATTAGCCTGTATATTTCTGCCTTCACTTGCCAAGCCCAGATATCTCCCAGGGGCAAAAGACAGGGGGTCCCCCATTTCCCTCCCCTCGGCTCTTTCCATTCAGAGTGAGAGAATGGGTTCTTGGGACCCCATGCGTCCACGGGCTTACTTCCTCTCTCTGCGTTCAGTCGTTTACAAATACGCCAAACAGGCATAGAAACAGGTGTGTATTAAACTTTTAAACCTGCCTCTCTGGTCATCAGAGCTGAGCCAAAGCTCTCCTGTTTCAGGATTTAGGAATGGGCTGTTGATTTTTGGCTGTGCTAAAAATGAGACCCTCAGGAGAATTTCACAGATTTAGTCTGTTTCCGGGTCTCAGGCTGCTAAGCAGAACTTTGGGGAGAAAGCAAGCCAGAGAACTCCCCAGGTGCTAGAGGCCAGACCTTCCTGAGATTCCACTCCCCACAGATAAATGGCTTCCCACAGACCTGAGAGAGTTAGGGTCACAAAGCCTGGGCTTGTGTCCAACGCCCCGTTTCATACACCATGCACACATGATTGCTCCCAGGATTCGGAGAGCTGCCCAAGGTCATGCAATTGGATTGGAACCCAAACTTCTTGATTTACTGCCTGATTTCCAGTGGATTCTCCCTTCTGTCTTAGGCCCAACATGAGCAAAGGCAGATTTCTTTCTCCCTAATTATGGACTCCTACTTCTTTTAGGGAATAGTCAGTGAAAGTCATCATTTGCCACATTAACCACAGGCAAGCACACAGTAGAAAGTTAATAAATGGTATCTTGGTCTGATTTAATTCAGTTGTTTGCTTGTGCATTAGTCCTGTATATTTCTGCTGAGACAATTCACTTCATTTTTGTTTTCTTTAGGGTCCCTTTTTACTCTTCTGCTATAAGCAAGGTAATTTAGAAGTCCTTCTGGCCTGTTTCCAGTAGGTCATCAATTTTACTGAGTGGTTTAGAAGACCCAGACAAGGGCAGAGAGGGCAAAGAAAGGAAAAGAGAGAGAAACTTAGTGTCTTCGAAAGCAAAATTAATTTAAGAAATCATGTCTTGAGATATAAAATATATACTAAAGGAGTTCAATTAATTAGAAATCCTTTTCTTTTTAAAGTAATGAATACTTACGTATCTAGTAGGGCCCCTGACACGTAGTAGATGCTCAATAAGTAATCACTGAGAGAAATGAATCATGGTGAGACAGCACAGCAGCTGTGCGCTTGTAGACAGAGCCCTAGACATGGAGACAGACGTCAGAGAAAAACACACTGCATCTTGGAAGTTAACAATCAAATGGAAAACATTTGACAGATAAGTGGTAGGCTGTTGGTAAATACTTGCCAAATAATTAAACAGTATTTTTTAAACAGTATGTTTTTTAGTATTTTTTAATATTATTTACTTTTTAAAAAATCTTTTAAAAAATACTTTATTATTTCTGTTTTTAAACAGTATGTTTTCAAATAGGTGAAATTTGTTTTAAAAAATTCCCACTTCATTTTATAAACATGATAACATGGGAGAAATGGATATGGGTCAGAGGTTTAAAAACATGTCTTTTCTAGCTCAAGTGTGTTTTGGGGGGGTGGATGGGGTGGATGGGGTGGACGGGGTGTGTGTGTGTGTTTTGTTTTAGGCAATTTTTTAGCTGCTCAGAGTCTGGGAAGCATGCTGATTATAAGGCTATTGATTTGGAGGAAGAGGCCAAAGACGAGGCGCAGGAAAGGGAGGCCAGATGGAGAACATGTCAGTTTGCGAGCAGCTGGGAGGGAGGGATGGCCATGGCTGCCACCGGAGCTCAAGCAGGTCAGCCTTCGTGATCAAACTGCTCAATAGCTATTGATCAGCCACGGTCCCCGGCCCCCATGCAGGGTCGGATTCAAGGGAGCACTGCATCATCACTGTGAGTAATTAGGGCTAATGCAGTAAAGGCTTCAATAAAGTTTGTTCAGAGTGATGCATAATTTGAAATAACTTCTCTTGCGCTGTCCCAATCGTGATTTAATAACCATATCAGATAATCCATACCGAAATACGTCCGCCTAGTTTTTCTGCGCTCCTACATACTGAACTATGTATGACATGGAGGTCATGCAACATGGAGAGAGTTGATGATTTCACTACTGAAACGTCGCCCCACCTTTGTGTTTCTGATGAGACTACATTAGTAAATAGATGAAAAATACTGTAGGAACTCAGTAAAACGCCAAGAAAACAAAATCTCCACAGTCCTGCACCTGAAAGTCTAGTTGGAACACACAGACACCCCCCCCCCACTATCCTTTCATCTTAAATCTCCAAGCGTAAAAAAAGACCTGTATCAGGGTTGCTGTCACTGCTCCAATCTCAGCAGCTCAAGGTGTGGCCCAGGGGAGAGAACGGCGGGAGGCAGGTGGACACCGTTCGTGGTTTCTATCTGTTTCGTATAGGTGTTTTATTCTCTAAAATTGTATGATCAGCCTTGTTTCAAACTACCAGAGCCTATGAGTAAGTGGAAATATTGGGTGGAAGGATGGGTAAAGTAGGGGAGGGGGAATGAAGGAGGGCACCTGCCGTGATGAGCCCTGGGTGTTGTAGGAAGTGTTGAATTGTTCAATTGTACACCTGAAACTCCTGTTACACTGTATGTTAACTAACTGGGATTTAAATAAGAACTTTAAAAAATGATAATAATTAAGATAGCAAAGTACAAAATGAAAGACAAAAAAATAAATAAATTTCACAAGTATATTAAATGCTTAGACATTTTGCTTCTGAAGGCAGAAACTGGTCTGGCAAATCATTTAATAATTAACCAAACTGTCAGCGCCATGGAAACTGACATATACGTGTAATCAAGATGCAAAACCTTAAGCTTGAAAAATTACCTTCAAAAATAAAAGAATACATTCTTAATTCTAATGGAATTAGAAGGAAATCCAGTATTCTAGTAGCTGGAGTAAAATAATCATGAAAATGTCTTCTGGCCCCCAAATCCTAGCATGCCTGATTTTTCGATTAACCAACTGCCATCCATGGAGAGGGGCCCAGAATAATGAAATTATATTCAGGTGCAAAAAGCAATAAATTCTTTTGCAATAAGAATTATAAAATTATATTTGCTTTGTGCCTGTGTGGAATCATTGTCGACACTCCCAACCAAAAC